GATAATGTTTCCTATAAAATCCTTTTGGAAAAAACTAATTAGCCAATAACACATTTTAAGTGTTTTATTTTTTAAAGACAATTAGAAACCAGTTTAGAAATCAGAAGGTAATTAAAATTTTGAATATTTTCCACACAATACGAAGATGTACAAAACAGATATTTGAGGAACGTATCGTCTGACCTTAAGATGAAAGAATGAAAGTTTAATATTTCTTTTCAAAGAAATAGAGAGAAATAAATGTATGTCATTCAATAAATGTATGTCATTCAAATGTCTTTAAACCATTCCATTCTATTAATTTGATAGTTTTCATAACAGAAGAAATATTCTACATAAATATTTTATGAAATTAATGGTTTGCAATTGAAAATATTTGCGGATGAAAAAGTCACAAAATCATAGATATTTCTCGCATGAAAACAAAAAAAATTACAGTAGTCATAGTTCATAAAGAAGACAAACCCTTTTTCAAATTTGTTTTAGAAATATTATTTTTGAATGTTAATTGCATTAACAAACCCAAATGAAAAACAAGATGTGTTTGTGAAACAGATGCCCCCGTCTGGCAGCTAGCAGCAAAGCTAAGAGTTTTTCAATTGCAAGTCAAACTCCAAGGTTAAGCTCAAGAGTTTTCTACAGTTTGGTCAAACTCATAAATAAAGGTCAAAATTTATGGTGCCCAGGGGAACGTCATGTCACAAGAAATGCACTTTTGTAATAGAAGAGCCGTAGCGCCAACTGTTCAAAAGTTATGACCAATGTTAAAGTTTTTTAAAAGTAAGCAAAACTTCCAGGTCAAGGTCAAAATTATTGGTATTCAGAAGAAAGCCTTGTCATAACAAATACACATTTGGAATATGAATGCCCTAGTACTAACTGTTCAAAAATTATGGTCAAAGTTAAAGTTGTTTTTTTTTTTAAAGTGGGTCGAACTCTAAGGTCAAGGTAAAAAAATATTTACACCTAACAAAAGTCCTTGTAAAAATGAATACACAAGTGAAGTATATAGAAACCCTAGCACCAATTTCGAAAGTTTTGGACAAGGTTATAGCTTGGTATTTTTTTTTGAAAACGTGGGTCAAACTTCAAGGTCAAGGTCAAAAAGTCAAATATATTCATACAGAAAGGTCTTGTCACAAGGAATACACATGTGAAATATGAAAACCATAGCTCCAGCCAATCAGAATTTATGGGCAAGGTTAAAGGTTTTGAGGATAAACAAGACAAACAGACAGATGGAAAGGCCAAAACTATATACCCCGAATCTTTGATTACGGGGGCTTTAAAATGAACTACATCAACCATAAGTCAGCATGGAACTGGATGTTATCTAGACTAAAAAAAAGCTTGATGCAATATTCTACAGAACAAACACATCCGAAATGAATATCGTATATAACATTAGAAATATTTGTAAAGTTATTGTAAAGTATATATCTGTACAAAAAATTAAATATTTCTTAAGGAACAATGTTGAAATTGTTGTAAAATTTACAGTATTAATTTTAATTAAACCGTTGCAAATTCCATTCATAAGTCCTTTTCCAATTTATGCCATTACTGATTCTAATAATTCTCTTGCAATATCATTTAAAGTAGAAAACATATATACAGATATAAATTCACTTCATTTTTATCATTTTTACAAATCTAAACAGAAAATCTTTAACTATATGTGAGTGTTTTTTAATAGTGAAATAGACATAGATACTATGTGTAGAATACTAAAATTCTACACTTCATTAAACTTTCAGTTGAGAAAACAATCTTCTGGAGTCAACAAAATACATAATGTTTCTTGTTTTCTTACTCTTCAATATATGCATATGAATAGATAATTTCCTTCTTACTTAATTCCAGACAATAAACCTCTGAAAGGAATATCATACGTACATAATGTTTATTGTTTTCTTATCTGTAGAAAAGGTATTTACACTATACTTTCCGTGACTGAATTCTGAAATCTTCGCAAAATTTACATTGATTTAATCTTAGATAAGATGAACATTTCAGTCCAAATCCCCCATTTAAAAATGTCATTACTAATCTTAACAATTTCTCTGCAACATCATTTTTGTACAATACAGAATGCGGCACATCATAACAAATAAACAAGAGGCCCATGGGGCCACATCGCTCACCTGAGCACATTGGCTAGGCAAAAGCACAAATCAGTTCAATAAAGATTACGGGGGGGGGGGGGGGGGGGGAGGGGGGGCTTGAATTTTAAACTACCTTCCATGTCAATTTAACAAATGCCTTTGTTGTACTTGATAAGGTTTAAAAAAAAAATTCCCATATATTCCTTTGCAAAAATTTGATCCCCAATTGTGGCTCCTCCCTATCCCAGGGGTCATCATTTGAACAAACTTGAATCTACACTATCTGAGGATGCTTCCATATCACTATGAATAAACTCAGTTTTTCTGTTCTTGAGAAGAAATATTTTTTATTCTATATGTTCTTATGTAAAACTTTCGATCCCCCATTGGGCCCCACCCTACCCCCACAAAGATGGATCCAGGGCCAGAGCGCCGGGCGTGCGCCCACGTTTGAATTTTTTTTATGTAGAACTTATATGTCCATTATCCTAAAATCAAGGAAAAACATCTCTTCTTTGTAAGAATTTGTCAGCTTCCCAGACCCCCACCAAGGCCTTGCTCTAGACCCATTGGGGGCTTCAATACAGCCCCCAGACCCACTGCCTCTACTCCCACCCCGTTACAAAATTCCTGGATTTACACTACCTGAGGATGCTTCCATATCAAAATAACTAAACATGATTTTCAGTTCTGGAGAAGAAGATATTTTCCTATATGTTCCTATGTAAAATTTTCAATCCCCCATTGGGCCCCACCCTTCCCCCGGGGGTCATCATTTGAACAAAATTGAATTTACACTATACCTGAGGATGCTTCCATATCAAAATGACTTATCATGGCTTTGCAGTTCTTCTTCAGAAGATATTTTCCTATATATTTCTATTCAAGACTTTGATCCTCAATTGTGGCCCCACCCTACTCCCCGGGGGTCATGATTTGAACAAAATAGAATCTACACTACCTGAGGATGCTTCCACATAAATATGACCCATCATGGCTTTGTGTTCCTGAGAAGAAGATTTTTTTAAAGATTTTTGCTTTACATTTCTAAGTAAAACTTTGATCCTCCATTGTGGCCCACCCTACAACCAGGGGTCATGATCAGATTTGAATCTACACTACCTGAGGATGCTTCCAAATAAATATGACTCATCATGCCTTTGCTGTTCTTGAGAAAAAGATTTTTAAAGATTTTTCCTATATATTTCTTTGTAAAATTTGATCCTCAATTGTGGCCCCGCCCTACCCCCCGGGGGTCATGATTTGAACAAACCTGAATCTACACTACCTGAGGATGCTTCCAAATAAATATGACTCATCATGGCTTTGCTGTTCTTGAGAAGAAGATTTTTAAAGGTTTTTCCTATATATTTCTATGTAAAACTTTGATCCTCCATTGTGGCCCCGCCCTATCCCCGGGGGTCATGATTTGAACAAAGTTGAATCTACACTACCTGAGGATGCTTCCACATGAGTTTCATCTTTCCTGGCCCTGTGGTTCTTGAGAAGAAGATTTTTAAAAGATGCTATTAATTTTTCACCAATTCTCTATTATCTCCCCTTGAAAGAGGGCATGGCCCTTCATTTGAACAAACTTGAATCCCCTTCACCCATGGATGCTTTGTGGCAAGTTTGGTTGAAATTGGCCCAGTGGTTCTGGAGAAGAAGATGAAATTGTGAAAAGTTTACAACGCCAACGACAGACAACGGACAAATTTTGATCAGAAAAGCTCACTTGAGCCTTCGGCTCAGGTGAGCTAAAAATAACTTTTATCTTCTTAACTTTTTTTATTGTTAACTAAACTGTGCTTTCTTTGCATTTTCAAAACCTTTTCCATTTAGTATTTAAGTGTGTTTTAAAATAACTTGTTCATACCAATACCATAGTTTCAATTTCTCTTTCTTTCATAAATTCTTTTTTTTTATTCCTTGTTTTTTTAAATAATTTAATTACATGTTTTTATTTTGGTTGTCAAGATACTTTGGTGTAACACATGAAAACACTGCAAGTGTCCTTTAAATCTGGGGAAAAATCTCTACTATTCCCAAGTATAATGCTTTGAATATCTATGGCCAATCAAATAAAACAATACAAGGTAATTTAACTAAACGAATAAGGGAAGCGGTCTGACAACTTAATTATATTGCATCAGCTACAAGTTATTGAATAATCTTCTGGCAACAAAAGATGTGATCGACCGCAGATAAAAATGCTGTGCTCAGCGGCTATCGACAAATTTTTCTTTCTTCACCCCAACAAATAATAAATCATAGTTATTTTGCCTTCATACTCTTGAAATAAGTATATGTTAATTAATGGAATAGTTTTTGTAAAGAAAACATACATATATATATATCAAAATAATTATTTAAAATGTGACGAATCCAGACATCTCAACCCTACATAAAATAAATTATAAAACACGCCATATTTGTCATCACCAAAACTTTACATAATATATAATACAATCAAGGATATAGATGATTAACATGCATAGATTAAGATTATTTTTAAAAAAAAACACACAGCAGTATCTCAGATTCCACTTTTCATCAGAAATGGAATATCAGCAACAGTGGTGTGCCAGTGGATTGAGGTATTGACTACACAGGTATATATCAATCTTATGTTCATGTCCATAAATTAACATCTATTCGGGCAGATCCAAGGATCTTTGATTAGACCGAGTCCCTAAAAACCTCATGATCACAAATTTATGCATATTGCAAAGTGTGAAATGATTTTCTCATAGAATACCTGTTAATCAATCTTATATGTACTTTAAATATCCAAATATTGTGATATTACAGGATACTGTTAATTAAAGTCTGTACCATTTCTACAACAAAATGCAGAATTAAAATATGATACAAAACTTTTTATACGTTCCTTCAACTAATTTTAAATTCATAGTGATTAAACTCTTCTACTTTGTAAAAAATAAGGAAATTATCTAAGAAATAACAATTAATATTCTACAAAATTATGATGATCAATCTTGATTATTCTTTTTTCAATTACAGGTAAAGCTGCTTATCTGTTGATGTATTTGACAAAGTATGAATATTCTCTGTATTCCTCTAGATCATCAGCAGACTCTGGAGTGACACCTTTTGCTGCCAATTCTTCTAAAACTCGGTCAAGGTATGTACTGTCTGGATAACCAAATCTGGAAAAATTATTACTATACCTTCAAAGCTCAAATTACTTTCTGTTTAAGTATATTGCATCAATTTTTATAAAATGTAGGCATCTTCAGAAGTTTTACATCTATGCAATGAATATTTTATAACACAATGAAAAATTAAATAAAATTTCAAGTTGACAATAAAGTTTGACAGTACAACACATAGTTACTTTAGTGGTAAATTACAATCAAAATATAATACATGTATATCTGAAATCTTTGATATTAGAATTATTAATTAATGAACACAAGAATTTAAAACTTACTAGGAATTTAATTTATTTTCTCTTTCCATTAGCATGGTGAATTAATCAAAATGTGTACAAGTTATTGTGTCCCATTTTCAATACAAAAATTACAGGTTACAAACAATTACATACCTTTGAGGTCCTCCCTCGGGTCTAGTTTTATGATGTATATCATTCCATGTAATAACACCTTCCTGGCCTGTAGTTCTAGAGCGACCAATGGTAAAGACCAGTCGTCTGCTGAATGCTACATTTAGCAACTTAGCTATCAGACATCCTTTCTCATTATTAGGGAGATAACCAGAGCGAATTATTCCTTTATACTGCTTTCCAGGATTTGGATGATCTGGCTGTAAACATTAATATTTCACTTCTCAAAATGTCATTTTTCAATCTTTTAATAAAAATTTAAGTTAGTTAAGAAATGTGTGTCATATATCAGATAAGGTTAACATACAAAGAAAAATAACTTACTCCCTGAGATCCATCAGGAAATGTGTACGTCACAATAATACAGCTATAGCAGTCATTGAAACCTTCCAACCTTTGATGACTTTTTCTCATTGATATCGAACCTAGGGGCTGATCCCCCTTCATTTTCCCATAAATCTGACCACAACTTGGACAGACTGGCTTGTACTCAAAATACTGCTCAATACACTCTTTGCAGAAGATATGGCCACATTTTTTCAATCGTTTTGGATTTGTTGGTGTATCCATACATACACAGCAGTTTTCCTGTTCTTGAGGCAAATCTGAAGATTTCATTGTTTTGCCCCAATCTGTTTTACCAGGGGGTTGAGAAGCCTCAGAGAGAGTATTAGGTATAACTTGAAACCCCCCTTCTTCAAATGTATCCAGGTATACTTTTTCTGCAGCCTCCTCTTTCACAACAAGGTAGATTTCTTTGAGATGTATCAGTGAAGAGTGTGTTGCTTTCACAGCTTTGTACAAATTCCGAGCACATGTTTCCAAAGGTGTTTGATAATCGCCTACCCCTGTGAAATGAACAGCACATATATTAAAAGGTAAAACAATAAAAAAATGCATAATGTATCCCACACACATTTTTCTTCATTCAGTATATTTTTACAATGACATTATCTATATACCACCGTTATCATCTATAAACTCTGCATAAAGACATGGTCATAACAATAATATGCAATACCATATATTTCTCTACAGTGTGATTGACAGTTTTTAATAAAGCTGATACATGTATACACATGTACCTTTGGCAGCATGGGCTGGTTTTTTTTTTAATTATCTACAAGCACTTATACTTCCTCTGCATTTCAAAGTTTAGAAAATGTTTAAATTTATGCATGCAGGTAGCAGGATAAATAATCTTTCAGGAAAATATTTACCTGCATACCAATATCTTTGTATGTATGTTATTCAGCATTAACAATACATAATACATGTATTGGTAAAATACTCCCCCCCCCTCCCCTGTTACGTAATTTGTCTATCTGACTGACAGCACGCGAAAATATCCATGTTTATATTATCCTTTTTATTGAATGCTTTTTGTTTCTAATCTCCCTTTTTAACTCTCATTTTGAACCTTACACTCAAAATTAGAGAGCAAATTTCAAACTGGGCAAAATGTACTGTTCATTGTACAAATTAATTTGCTGCTCCGGAGGAAGATTGTAAATTATTTATTCTAAATATTCCTACTGAGTTAAAACTTTGCATCCTTATGTTACAATAATTTGGGCAGCTTTTAAATGATTCAATCCCCCCGTTTTCACAAAAATCTTGATCATGTTGCTCTTCAAAAATTTCTACTTTCCCAGAATCCTTTGTTACACATTGTTGAAATTTCAGGAGAGGCCAAAAACATAAAATATTAATAAGCAAAAAGCCCTGTTGCCCTCTAGATTTTCATGAGTAAAGGTAAACCGTATCCTGTTTTTAGTCCCCTACCGGTGAAACCAGAGGGGACTATAGGTTTCCTCAGAGTCTGTCCGTCCGTCTGTCTGTCCGTCTGTCTGTCAGTCTGTCCCACTTGGTTTTCCGCACTTTTTTCCTAAACGCTTAGATAATTAACTGAATTTTGGTATGTGAGTGTATCTTGATGAGTTACAGATCAAGTTTGAATTTCGCTCCGCTTCATTGATTTTTGACGGAATTATGGCCTTTTCAATTTTTAAGAGTTTTCCACAATTTTCTTCTAAATGCTTTCAGATATTGAGCTGATTTTTGGTATGTGACTTTACCTTAATTAGAAAAAGATCAAGTTTACATTTCGTTCTGCTTCATTGATTTTTGACAGAATTATGGCATTTTCAATTCTTAAGGGGAACCAGATTACACTTGCCAGTAGGGGACTAGTATTGCTAATGCAATACTCTCAGAATGCTTGTTTTTTTAAATGTATGACCAACTTAGCTCCATCCTGAAGCCTGAACCATCTTTCCTCTGGCCACATTTAAAGAAAATTTGGCTAAACGTTCATTATATTGGTAATCATGGAAATAGTTTTTGCCAGCTGACTTTCCATAAGTAAAGAATAACATATTTATAATCATGTAATGTATTTTGAGACAAGAGGCCCATGGGCCACAACACTCACCTTAGCGATTTGATCACCCACTGCAGTCCAAGGCTTTTCTAAGAGATTATGATTAGAACAAGCTGTTGCTTTGGAAAAAAAAATTTAAGTTTTTTGAAATGTATTCTTATGCAAAACTTTGATTGTCCATTGCCAATCCTACCTACAGGGTCATGATTTGAACAAATTTGAATATACACTACCTTTGGATACTTCCATATAAATATTACTGATCTGGCTCCAGGGCCATAAAACTTACACGAGCTCACTTTTGATCTCAGTCTCACTTTTACCAAAGGAATTAATAGTGGAACAGTGAGACTGCGATCAAAAGTGAGCTCATCTAAGTTGTATGGCCCTGGTCTTTGCTGTTCCAGAGAGGAAGATTTTTTTTACAGATTTTTTCCTATGTATTTCCAAGTAAAACATCCATTGCCCATTGTGATCCCACCCTTCCCCCTGGGGTTATGCTTTGAACATACCTGAACATACTCTACCTGTATATGCTTAAATATAAATATGACTGATCATGGCTTTGCTATTTTTCATAATGTTTTTCAAAGATTTCTCCTATGTATTCTATGAAAAATTTTCATCCCAAATGTAGCCTTGACCAACCCCCAGGGATCATGATTTGAACGAATTTGTATCTACACAACCTGTGGACGCTTCCATATAAATATGATTATTCATGGCTTTCTTATTGATTGAGAAGAAGATTTTTAAAGACTTTTGCTATTTATACCCAAACAAAACTGATCGTCAAGAGTGGTGACACCCTTCCCCCAGGGGTCATGATTTGAACAACTTTGAATCTACACAACCTGAGGATGCTGCCATAAAAATATGACTGATCATGGTTTTTCTGTTATTAAGAAGGACATTTTCAAATATTTTTTCCCTTTTTTTTTTTTTTTTTTTTTTTTTTTTTGACAAATGGTAAACTTTGATTTGCCTATAGTAGCCAAACCCTACCCTGGGAGTCATGATTTGAACAAACTTAAATTTACACTACCTTTAAATGCTGCCATATAAATATGTGCCTGGTTTTGCTATTATTGAGAAGATTTTCAAATATTTTTTCCTATTTTTACCAGACGTGTAAAACTTTGACTGCCCATAGTTGCCACACCTTACTCCTGGGGGGAGGGGGTCATGATTTGAACGAACTTGAATCTACATCTACACTACCCATGGATGCTTCCATATAAATATGACTGTTGTCTGATCATGGTTTTGCTGCTTTTGAAAAGAAGATAATTTTTTTAAAAGATTTTTCTTATCCCAGTATACCAATATTAAACTTTGATCCTCCATACTAGTAGTGTCCACAACATACCCCATGGGGTTATTGTTTAAACAAAGGGTCAGACCTTATTGTTTAAACAAACTTGAATCTACATTGTGTCTGGAAGCTTTCACATAATTTTCATTTTTTCTGGCCCAGTGGTTCTCAAGAAGCTTTTTCAATGACCCAATCCAATATTTACTTTTACTTAATTACCTTCCCTTGGAAGAGAGTGTGGCCCTTCATTTGAGCAAATTTGAATCCCCTTACCCTAGGATACTCTGTGTCAAGTTTAACTGAAATTGGCCTAGGAGTTCTGGAAAAGATGAAATTGTAAAAAAGTTTATGACAAAAACAATGACAACGACACACAACAGACAAATTTTGATCAGATAAGCTCATTTGAGCTTCAGCTCAGGTAAGCTAACAAGACAAACTTATCCTCATCTTAGACAATAAATAAATCCCCATATTAGATGACGGACAATTTTGACCAGAAAAGCTCACTTGAGCCTTTGGTTCAGGTGAGCTAACAAGTTAAACTAACCACCATTTTAGAGTCTAAAACTTAACTTAATGCCCAAAAAGTTTACAATTTTGGTAAAGGGTATGATCTTGCTACATGTAACCATGCATTCATTTTGTAGTAGTAGAAAAATAGAGGTAATTAGAGGTTACAGAGCTCACATCAACGAATGTTGTCTTTAAGTAAGACAAAGGTTCACACTAAACTAATATTCTAGTAGTGTGCATCCCATGATGCAAAATTAATATATGCAGTTTTAGTCTGACAGTGCTTGCAGTTACTTGGGAATGGATTTATCTAAAAATTTCAACTGTCACTCATTCCAAAAATAAACTGGTAAGTCAAATCCAGCATCTGAACCAAGTTAAGAGTGTCTTCCCTTGATGCACCATCATGCAAGTTTGGTTAGGATATGCCTAATAATTTCTTGGTAATGGATCTGCTACAAAAAATTTAACCTGGTCACTCATCCGGAAAATGCAGCATAAATCCAGCATCTGAAGCAACTCTGTGAGCATGCATTCCCTTGATGTATCATCCATGCAAGTTTGGTCAACATAGGTCCTATAGTTACTTTAGAATGAACCTGCTCCAAAAACTTTAACATCCGAAAAATGTTGGTCAGATCCAGCATTCAAAGCAAGCCTGGTAGTGTGCATACTTTGACCCCCTGTTCTGGCCCTGCCTACCTCCAGGGGTAATAATTGGAACAAATTGGAATCTCACTAACTGATAATGCTCTATAATAATATGACAAAATATGGCTTTGTTGTTTTAAAGACATTTCCTATATATACCTATGTAAAACTTTGACACCCTCTTGTGGCCTCGCCCTACCCTAGGGGGTTGTAATATGAACAAACTTGAATCTAGAATATGTAATGAAGCTTTCATACAAGTTTTATCTTTTCTTGCCCAGTGGTTCTTGAGAAGATTTTCTAAAAATGCCATCAATTTTTCACGAATTCTTAATTATTTCTCTCCTTGAAGAAGGTGAGGCACTTCCTGTGAACAAACTTAAATCCCCTTCACCTAAAGATGCTTGTGCTAAGTTTGGTTGAAATTGGCCCAGTGGCTCTGGAGGAGATGAAAATGTGAAAAGTTTACGACAACAATGACAACAATAATGACAGACAACGGACAATTTTTGATAAGAAAAGCTCTCTTGAGCCTTTGGCTCAGGTGAGCTAAAAATAAATCTATTTACTTATATAAATGTCAGTGATAATACATTCATATTTGTCACTATCACCATCACCATGTAGACATTATAAAATAATAGTGCTTGTGCACATAAACTCATCTCACACCTCCTCAAATTAACCTCAAGTGGTCTTTGAAGAACATTCAATGTACAACTAGAGTGTTCCAAGGAATGCATGTATCGCCTGCGTTGTAGCTTCATTAAAGATGTAAATAAGTGTAGTTAACTATTTATTTACTACTAGCATGATAGTTCATGCAGAAAAAAATCACCACTCATAGTACAAGACTGTGATAGAATCTGACAATCAAAGAAAATATGATTCCAAACCCTAAAATGAATAATTAAATTTATTATAAATAATCATTTATCATTTTACATGTATTAATACATACGTGTTTCAGTCTTTACTCCAATTGTCAGTCTACACGATCTATTGCAGGATACTGATCCTGATGTATTTTCATAGTATTTAAATGTCAGTTTGTGTGGTAAATGAATATCATACAGTTTCAAAGTACAGACCCTGAAACGTGCTACTACCCCACACGCACGCTGCACGAACGGTACACGCTCGCTACACGGTTTGCACGAAACGCTGCACGGTTTACACGAAACGCTACACGGTTTGCACGAAACGCTACACGGTTTACACGAAACGCTTTGCACGAAAGGCTGCACGGTTTACACGAAAGCCTGCACGAAACGCTTTGTACACGTTTCTCACACGCTTTGTACACGATTCTCGCACGCTTTGGCCTCGATCTGGATTATCTATTCGGAATCTCTCGGACTTTATTTAAATTATTACGGATTAATCAAAGATTAGTTAAGAATTGCAATCATTCAGTTTAAGATTAAAACTCGCTACACCAGTACTATATTAACAGGTAAAATACTCAATCTTCGGTTGTAATTAATTAATACAGATGTAGTTATCATTGAGTATGTGCCCGCTCGGTGAAATGCTTATCATCGTCTATGTACAAACCTTTTTAAATAGACTCTAAATTACGCACTGAAAAAAATTATTATATTTGTAATTCATAATCTTTTATAGCATCCAATGTTTTTACAATTAGCCTATAGTTTGATATTAAAAAGTCGTTTCATTACTGATAAATAAACTCAGTTATTGATTTAAAAAAAAGATGATTAAATTGCGTATGGTTTTTGAAAGCGAATCGATTTTCTTTTCTTTCTTTTTCAATTTTTGATTGATTTATTCATTTTTTGATTTATAAAAAAAATATATATATTCATTGGATTAGTTTAGGTTCTGTTTATAATTTGAAAAAGTGACATGTACACTACATTGTGCAGGAAGGGGGGGGGGGGGTAGATTACCGAGATCTTGCTGTTGTATCTTCGAATCTGTACACGGCTAAATATAACGGGCACTTGTTTCAGTTAGTATAACATTGGGGGAAATATTATTATAGAAACAGGTGCCCATTCTAAGAAAATAAAAGGATATCCAGAGGGACCAGATACATGTAATTCATTAAATGCACTTTATTCAGAATGATAAATAATCGTTCTCGTTTGAGGCATTGTGTTTATCAAATAAAAACAATATATCCACCACCTTGTAAAATCCTTGATTTCAAACCCCGTCTAGACAATTAAAAAAAAGTAATCAAAAGTCACGGCTTTTAGCAATACATTCAATATACATGTATGTACATGTCCTATGTCCTAAAAACTAAAAATTATGCTCTGTAATTGCGTGATTAATAAAACAACTAATAATTACACTGTACTCAAGATTTTTTTCTATATATTTTTTTATTCGCTAATACACTGGCAAATTAATTCACTGTTTACAGACAATCGGATAAATTTAAGAAATAAAATCCACGGACCGTATTTATTTGTACCCATTAAATACTAATAAAACGATTTAATTTCACTAATCAAAATCAATCGTTATTGTCCCGTGTCATCTTAGCTATGATTGACAAGAGATAATAACAGAACAAGTTTTCAGTTCCCGGCACGAGGTGCCCGTGATCGCTGTTGTGAATGACCTTGATCACTGTTGTAAGAAGAGTGTTGTAATGTGTAAAGAAGATTCTAGTATATTTTTAAGGGGTGCATCGGGCGCACCCCGAAAAAAAGCAATAGATTTCTTTAAAAACAAAATTATATATAAAACTCTTAACAACAAAAGCTCAGTCCCCCCCCCCCCCCCGGAAATAATTTACCCTGTATTTGCCGAAGCACGTGAATTATAATTCATTTATGTGACAATTATTAACCAATTGTATGCATAAAAAGACTATAAATGATTCTTCGTTTCAACATTATTTGTAACACAATCTTGTGATATAAGAAAATTATGTTCGTTTATAAAGAAAATGAATTAACTGTGCTCCCCGGCCTAGAATTCCCATACTTCACATTTATAGCAACGCACTAAATTTTGTATTTTATTTTTCACGCCTGCCTTATCTATCTATTATTTTGTATTAATCACCCATATGTTCCTGTAATCTTTATATACCATAATTGTAAAATGGTGAAGAGATTCAAATGAATGAATGAAAAGGACAAGACCGGGTTCTTGGTGAATTTTCTTTTTTAAAAAATGTTTAGTATTGCCCCCTTTAAAAAATGTATTGAATCAAATACCTCTAAATTGATGTACATATAATTAATTACTTTGAACATATTTTATGTCCATCTTTATTTTTTTAAAAAAGGAAGAAAAACAAACAAATATGTAATACATTACCGAGTAATTTTATTTAATTTGTTGTTTCCGTATTTTTATTTTATACCACCGGTAATGTATGCGAATAATATTACTTACAAACAACACAGAATGACATGTTGATCCATCAATATCCATATTTAAAATAAAATGACTTCCGAATGAATCCTACACGTTTTTCACACGATTCTTGCACGAAAGTCGCACGTTTCTCACACGGTTCTTACACGAAAGTCGCACGTTTCTCACACGCTTCTCGCACGCTCGCTACACGGTTTGCACGAAACGCTTTGGAGCTTACACGAAACGCTGCACGGTTTACACGAAACGCTACACGGTTTGCACGAAACGCTGCACGGTTTACACGAAACGCTACACGGTTTGCACGAAACGAAAAGCGCACGAAAGTCACACGCTTTTTTGGGGTAGTAGCACGTTTCAGGGTCTGTACAGTATCATGAGCTCATAGACATGTATAAATGCTAATTATCAACGCCGCCTCTCAAAATTCAAAAGACTTAAGTTAAACTGTCCAGGGTATTTTTGAAAGTAGGTCAAAGGTCAAGGTCAAGTGAATTGTAACGCTGGTATTTTATGTTTTATGACAATCAGTGCACATGCTAAATACAGACCCTAAAACGTGCTACTACACCACTTGCATGGTTCGGTTCATTTCATTTTGTGTACGGTACACTTCTTGCATGGAACGGTACGCTTTGTGAACGGTATGGTTCGCTTTGTGCACGGTACGGTACGCTTCTTGTACAGAATGGTTCGTTTTGTGTATGGTACGGTTCGCTTTGTGCACGGTACGGTATGCTTCTTGCACGGTACGGTTTGTTTTGTGTACGGTACAGTTCGCCTTGTGCACGGTACGGTTCGCTTCTTGCACAGTATGGTACGGTTCGTTTCTGAGGTGTAGTAGCATGTTCAAGGGTCTGTAGCATAGACTTACCTCTTAAATGCCAAAATTATGCTGTATATTGGCACTTTTCACTTTTTTAAAAGTAGGTCAAAAGTCAAGGTCAAGGGTCGCAAGGTCGGTAAGCATGGCAGTTCACAAAAGCCATAGTGCCTAGCAACATACAGCAAAACTCGTTTAGTACGAACACGGATATTGCGAATTCACGGATATAGCAAAGTTTTCTTGGATCCCCAGCTATATAAAATTTACGAATTCCTTATACGGATATAACGAATTACGGATAGAGCGAAGTAATTTCACAGGTCCCAGTGACTTCATTATAACCGAGTTTTACTGTATGTGCAAAAAATCAAGTCCATATCTCTTACAGTTCTTGAGATACAAGGTATAACAGTCGGACAGAGAGACAGACAGACGCTGGGTAAAGTGATCCCTTAGTGCACCTCTGCTCTGCAGGCGACACAAAAAGGGTATTTTTCTACTATAATCAATAGACTCTTTCTCTATCACCAGAACCCCCAACCAAGGGGCCATGAATTTCACAGTTTGGAAGAGGCATGCTCATTAAAACCATGCACTCAGTTTAACTGCTAAATACTGAGCAAAGAAGATTTTTAAGAAATTGATGCATAAGGAAGAGGAACGTTTGCTCCTTACAACCATGCACTTTATTTCTTTAATTCTTCTAGTGGGGGAGAGAAGATTTTTAAAAAATTCATGCAATTTCACTATCAATCAATAAAGCCCCATACTCCAGAACGGCTGACCCTGGTGCCATGAATATCACAATTTTGGTAAGGGACTAATTGTATGCTATAATAATTTCAACAGCTTGATTGCTTGATGTCAAGGAGTAGTGAGGAAGATTTTTAAAAATTACATTAATTTTGATGGTTTTGGCCCCACTACTCATTCCCCAAGGGGTCAGGAACTATGAAAATCACAATATATGTCTTCCTTTGTCTATAGATGCTCTATACTGAAATTGGTTAAAATTATTTCTGATCAGCAGTCTGAAGAAGAGGCTGAAAATGTTCAAAAGTTTAAGACCAAGGAAGATGCACAATAAAGGTTGAAAACAGATTGCAATAGGTCACCTGAGTGACTCAGGTGACCTAAAAATAGGAATGCAAATGACAGTGAAATATTTTTTTTTACCTGCACCTAGAAGTGGAACAGCTATGGATAAGCAGTTCGATTCGTCTGCAGTTTTTATAATTTCTTGGATCATTATATTTAATGTTCTTTCAAAGTTCCCGGGATCTTTTGCAGAGTCTTTGGTCCATCTTGGTGTAACAGCATGAACGATCATCTTCCATGGGGAATTTCCATAAATTTTTTGCGACAAAATTTGACCAATCTTCTTTCTTCCAGAACTTGGAGTTTCAGACTCTGATGGAATCATTTTCAAAATTCCTCTCGCAACTTGGTCATTTGATGAGCAGTATTCATCTTGAGGACAAACTACAATGTCTGATGTAACATCTGTAATATTTCCAAGATGAACTTTGATTGTAAGCATATTTGATATTTTAATAATGGAATCAACAGTTAATGGTTGTTTGTTAAATTGACTTCCGTGTGTTAAAGACATTTTTTTGTCTTCTGGTGGTAATCCCTTTCCACTGTCTTGCACTTCTGAGGACCCTGAAGTAATAAAGCCTGAAGGAGGTGAAGCTCTTTGTTGGAATATTGCCTGTATTGCACTGACCATTGATGGATCTCTGTCAATAAAGTGGATTTCTTTGAGACTCTGATAGGGGTAACTTCTGCTGAATGTCATCACTGCTTTGTAATATTGCTCTACACATTTATCTCCAGGGACACCAAAAATACCTGAAATGATTTTTTCATAAATCATTCTTAACTTGAAATTAAGAAATTAAAAATAAAATGAATTTTTTACAATTAAATTATTTTTAAGAATTTAAAAATAGAAAAATTAGAAGTGTAATATTTATCCAACTTATTAGTAAGAATCATAATACTTTTTTATAATGCTGGATCTCAGCCAAACAGAAAATAGAAGTTATTCATTTCAATCAGAATATTGCACTCCCTCACTGTTGTCATTTTGCCTGGCAACTTTTAAACAGTGGCAGCTTTTCTGTTTTGAATGTTTGCTTGCATAATTGAACATGACATTATTATTAAGAGGTCAAGATTTTTATGCTTGTAAATAATGTATAACTTATTGATATTGTAAAAATAAATAAGTGTAATCTAAAATTTCACTTGAGGTTCGATCCTGAGCTTTTGGGCAGATTTTAGTGTGGACCTCTGTTTCTAAAACACTCCATCATATTTAAGTTCTTACATTAAATTTGAATTACAATGCAAATCAAATTATATTCAATGAAAAAACCACGATTAAATTCCATTCAAATAAGACTAGGCCAGGAACTATATTTTGTAGTAGAAAAATTTTTTTTAGAAGAAAATAATCAATGTTTCCCTTTTGAAGTATTTACAGTACTGTTAAGTTTAGATTCCATTTTTTCATGCTGGTTGCACATAGAGCTAATTTGTGAAGTGAAATATTTTATGCTGGTTCTGGAATATCTATTAAATTTACTTAATTTATTTTTATGAATTCTATATTCATATTGTGACAAATATGGTAAATATATTCTGAAAGTCCAGGAAAAAATTGAGCCAATTTTAACATAAAATTAACATTTCTTTTAGTAAAAAATTTACATCACAGACCACCACTTTTGATTTTCTTTTCTGAATATATAAGATAACTTTGATTAATCTGCTTAAATTCAGCAAAATTTAAGACTTTAAAATAATTTTCTTGCTTGTTAAATTTTAATGCCAGAATTTTGTGAGTGCAGAAAGGACAAATAATTGACTATGTGAAGTAATTTAAAACTTTTTCTTTATCACAATTTTAATGTGTCTTTTTAAAGATAGAATAATAGTATTTATTATATAGTCTATTTATAGCTATATAATCTATACAAATGCAAACAGTTCATAACACTACATATTCAACGGATTTCAAGCCGTATTCACCAGAGGGTCAGTGCGCGTGCAGCGGCATTGTGACATCACAATCAACACCTCAAACAACGTTGTAAACAACGTTTGCAACGGCCAGACCCAGCTGTGTATCTGAGCAGGAAAAACATTAACCAAGCCTATCGCAGGATTATTTTCTAAACATTTCGATTTCTTACAAACAGCAAAAGGAAAACACGGAAGCTATAACATGTAATCTGGACATTTTTTTTTCCACGACAGAAGTTTGTAAATGAAAGTGGTATCATCATGCAGCCTTCAATGTCTTATTTATTCAAATCCAGACTATATAATAAAACAATTATGGACTCTTTCGGTGGTGAATATGGTTGGTTATTCACCAGAAAAATATCAATCTTGATATTTTTCTGGTGAATAACAAACCATATTCACCACCGAAAGAGTCCATAATTGTATAATATTTTGTCCCATGACTTATTTGGATTAAAAATATTGGAGGGAAAACTTTGAAGATGTGATTTATAATTAAGACTTAATTTTAGTGCAAAAAGGTCAAATTAAATGTACTGTAGCGCCAAAAGAAGCATATTCACCCCCAATTTTTGTTTTGATTTTTAATTTAGCTATGTGTGTAGATACTAAAAATTTACCTGACAAAAATTCTTAAAACTTTAAATATCAGGATCAAACTTTGTTAAATCTTAATACCCTTACCTGAGCTTATTGCAGGTAATGCGATTGACCTCATCCCCAACTTATCTGCCTCTCTAAAGGTGACCTCTACAGACTCACAGAGATCATGTAGACAACGATCTTTGTCAGAATAGTTACTCCATCTTGGTCCAACTGTGTGAATTACATACTTGTACGGTAATTTACCAGCAGATGTCACAGCACATGAACCTACTGGTATAGGACCATGCTTCACTATATAACCCTTGCTTTCATCATCAAATGCATTACCTGCTGCATCTGATATGGCAGCAGCAACTCCTCCTCCATGCCAAAGATTTTCATTTGCAGCATTGACAATGCAATCCACATTTAAGTGAACAATGCTTTCTTGGTATATCTTTATCTCTAAACCCTCAGGAGTCTTCATCTCTACCTTTGTTAGCCTGTTAGTGCCTGTTACATTTTCAGACTTGGATGTTGTGTGAAAACTGACATCAGTATTGAATCTTCTTCTGTATACATCACTATCAGCTGCTGCTTCTGCTGTTTCAGTCTTTGCAAACTTTCGTCCTGCTCTTCTGTTTACTTTACCTGACAATTTTTGCACCAATAAACCTTTCACTTCTAAAAGTTCAGTATAACTTTCACAGATGATTTCAATGCTATCCTTTCTATGTAAAAGAAAGACATTTGAATTCCTTTGTTTTATTTCTTCTATAACCTGATGAATATTAATTTCTTTGTTCTCTATTGCAACAATATCAGAATTCATCATCTGTACACATTTTAATTCCTCTTCCATCTTTTCCTCAGTGAATTTGCCTTCATCAGCAGGCACAGTGCAAATTAGGACACCATCAACATACTGAATAACATTAGCTACTTTTTTAAACAAGCTGTGTTGGTCTGCAAAGTACATGAATGCTTTGTTGTCCCTTTCAGACATTGGGATTCTGATAACTAACTCCGTCATTTCTGATGAGCTATGTTCATCTTTCTTCCCTTTAACAGATAATTGCCTGTTTGCTTCTATAATCTGTGATAAGCTCCCTTGTATAAGAAATACAGAGTTTCCCTCTTTCCCTATTTTGCATCCTGTGTCTACTACTTTCTGACGAATTTCTTCCTTTGAGTAGCCATGTACTGTTTCCCGACACATTATTACTCCAGTGACAAATTCAAAAATAGGAAAGTCATTCTGAAAAATGAAATTAAAATTTTATCATTAAGTTACTTAATGTCATTAGACTACAAGTATACAACAATAGGCCCATGGGCCACAATGCTTACCTAAGTAACTATGGACCTGCTGTTCATTCCTATGCAAAACTTTGATCACATATTGTTGCCCCACCCTACTATTTGGGGTCATGATTTGAATCTACACTACCTAAGAATGCTTTCATACAAATATGACTAATCATGGCCTTCCTATTCTTGAATAGAAGATATTGGAAGATTTTTATTATATATTTAAATGTAAAACTTTGATCCCTTGTTTTGTAACCAAATCCTACCTCCAGGGGTCATAATTGAGAATAATTGAGAATCTACACTTTCTCGGAAAGCGTAAACATAAGTTTCATCTTTTCTAATCCAGTGGTTCTTGAGAAGAAGATTTTTAAGGTATGTCACTTGTGAAATTAGTTATATCAAGGATTTTTTTTAGAAGTATATTTTTGATAATAAGTACTCATATAGCATGACCATACATGTAACAGAGTTGAACAATCACAACTGGAGATTTGAAATTTTTCAGCTGGAGTTTGGGTCTCAGAACTGGAGATTTTTTATCGACATTTTTTTTCAAATCACAAAAGACTATCCTACCCCCTAAATTTAGGAAAAATTACTTGTACAAATCATCCTGTCATCAGTATCAAAGAAAAGTTTTGAAAATTTGGAGAACTTAACCCTCTCACAGTTTATTACTTTAAAATTTTCATTCTATGAAATTGTTGTCTAGTTTTAAAAATATATGATAAAGTTTTTATTCAAGTGAAGTGAAATTTGGTATTCAAAAAAACCCAGCTCATTGAAATTAAGAAAATTTGGTTAAAATAATATTGATTTGGTATTGATATATCAACTTGTAAGTAAATTAAAGTAAAACATAGGTTTCATATAACAAATTATATGTCAGTAATTTTTTTTAATTGAAATGTTATTGTCAGATATGCACAGATAAAATGAAAATAGATATACTGTCTAAAAAGTACATGAAATTAGAGTCAGGTATATGTTGTTCAAAACTTTTAGCAACACCCTGTAGTGTTATCTATTTTTCATGCGACTCAAAATTGCAAAGAAAATTGGGGTCTGAGTGTGCATGTTATTGAGCAATGGTACAATGAACTTAACCTATTTGCACTTAAATTGTAACTCTTAGGTTCATCAATTCAACCTTTATCATATACTTTACCAGATGTAATATAATCTTATTTTGTGTAAAATAGTTTGAATAATATATGTCATTTGACAAATCATGCAAATTAATGCACATTAATTATTTTGTGACCTTTTTGCACTTAGAAAGAATCATATTTGGGGTATTAAAAATCTAAATAGGTAATAAAATATTTTCTTGTTTCAAGCTTTTTATGACTTTAGTGCTGATCGGTAGGAAGTATCATGTAGTTTAAAATAATGAAAGAAAAAGATGAGGCCATTGATTAAATTTTGAGATATTGATCAAAATATGTGATTTTCAGGCCAAAAATATTGTCAAATTTATCTTGACTAAATAATTCTTCAATATAGAGAGATCAGGTGACATCAACTGGAGATGGTCGATTAAAAATTCTGTCCAGTTTTTGGTCAGTTTTTTGGTGTTTTTTGTTAGGATTATAAGTATTCCGTATACCTGAATTTTTGACAACATACGTTCATAGGTATTTAGGAGACATTCTAAAGTGTGTTTGGTGCATTGAAAAACCTTTAAAATGAAAATGAGAGGAAAATCAAATAATACACAGAAAACCTCTGACAAGCGTTCACTACATGGGACAGACAAGGCTATCATCATGTCTGTTAAGACCAACTCTTGACAGAGTGAAAGCCTTCCAGAACCGGTCATTGGCAACGACCAGATTCCGTTAGATGCCTCCTCAAACATTGAAAAGGACAGTGTAGCTAGGTCATGCTCTGTTGACAATTTGAAAAACAACATTGATGACCATGACGTCGATTAACACAACATAAATGCACAACTCAACTATGTTTGTGAACAAGCTGAGTGCAACGATGATGAGATTTCTACACTTTATCAGGATTGATAGAAAAATGTCTGTAATGGACAATGAAATCACTGATTTGCATGCTAAGTCTATGCGTGACAGTATTTTAATACATTACTATAAATACACCCCTGATGAAGATCTAGCTTCTATTATGCCAGAAAATTTTAAACAAACACTAGGGGTAGACGTCAAATTCGTTAGAATTCATAGAGATGGAGTTCGCCCTCAATACACTGATCGGCCAGTGTCCATTACGGCCAAGTTGATGGATGGTAAGAAAAAAGATGAAATTCTCAGTGTCCAGAAAATTAAAACATAGGTAATCAGAGATTACAGATTACAGAGCTCACCTCAACGAATGTTGTCTTTAAGTAAGGCAAAGTCCCACACTAAACTAATAATCTTGGAGTGTGCATCCCTAGATGCAACATTTATGCAATTTTTGTCTGATAGGGCTTGCAGTTACTTGGGAATAGACTTATCTGTAAACTTAAAACTAGTCATTCGTCCAGAAAATGTAAGTCAAATCCAGCATCCAAAGCAAGTTTAAGACTGTTCATCCCTTGATGCTTCATCCATGCAAGTTTGGTTCATATAGGGCTTATAGTTACTTGGAAATGACATCTGCTCCAAAAACTTTAACCTGGTTACTCATCTGGAAAATGTAGGTCAGATCCAGCATCCGAAGCAAGTCCAGTAGTGTGCATCCTTAGATGTATCATCCATGCAAGTTTGGTCAATATAGGGCTTATAGTTACTTGGAAATGAGATCTGCTCCAAAAACTTTAACCAGGTCACTCATCTGAAAAACATATGCGAGATCCAGCATCCGACACAAGTCCAGTAGTGTGCATCCTTAGATGTATCATCCATGCAAGTTTGGTCAATATAGGGCTTATAGTTACTTGGAAATGAGATCTACTCCAAAACCTTTAACCTAGTCACTCATCTGGAAAATGTAGGTCAGATCCAGCATCCGAAGCAAGTTCAGTAGTGTGCAACCTTAGATGCATCATCCATGCAAGTTTGGTTTATATAGGGCTTATAGTTACTTGGAAATGAGATCTACTCCAAAAACTTTTACCTTGTCACTCATCTGGAAAATGTAGGTCAGATCCAGCATCCAAAGCAAGTTCAGTAGTGTGCATCCTTAGATGTATCATCCACGCAAGTTTGGTCAATATAGGGCTTGTAGTTACTTGGAAATGAGACCTGCTCCAAAAACTTTAACCTGCTCCAAAAACATTAGCCTGGTCATTCTTTAGCTGAAATTGCAGCATCTGAAACCTTGACTGGTACAATGAAACACACTATAAACATCCTCCATGCATCTCTGACTAATATAGGCCATAGAAGTACTTGAAAAGAAAACTGCTCCAAAAACCTTAACCTGGGACGCCGATGCCAACACCGACTCTGACGCTGAGGGTATTACATAACCTCCCCCAACTTTGTTGAGGTGAGCTAAAAATAGCAAAGGTTCCCTTGTCATTTTACACTGCCCCCCAACAACCTTTGTCCATCGTTTCTGCCAGAAATAAACTTACTGACTAATCAGAGTCTTTCAAAAAACAAATCATTACTGTGAATATGTCAAAAAATAGCCTCATCATGCCAAACGGCTCCAAATGTAGCGAGGAAGTTCTGCTCCTCACCAGTGCAAATGTTTTACAAAGCCACTTCGGCTGAAACTCAAAAATCGGATGACATTGTTACAAAAAGCATAGAACCGGTGCAAAAAGATGGATCTGAATTTTTCGCAATTGGAACTGAGGTGAACTCTGCGAAGTGTCCAAAATTTCTACAAGAAGGCCTGTACTGACCCCTATGTCGCCAGGGTAGACAGCAGAATCTTAGTTTACAGATTTTGAGGTAATGAAAAAGTGATTGAAAATTATCCTGACGATGGCGAACATGGGGCGGGCTGACGCCTCTTTAGATACATGCAAGACAATCATATCATCAATGCGGCTATCGTTGTTACAAGATGGATGGGGGAGCATATTGGGCCCCAAAAGTAGCATGCTTGGAAACATCTTGTCACAGATAATGCACATGATAAATATGAAAACCCTATGTTTTCTCAATCAAAAGTTATAAGCAATGATAAAATTTTTGAAAAGTAGGTCAATGTCACGGGGTCAAAAACCATAGTATATTTGGAAAGGTCTTGTCACAGGTAATGTACACATGTTATATGAAAGCCCTATCTTTTCTCATTCAAAACTTATGACCAATTTAAAGTAAAGCTAAAATTTTTGAAAAGTATTTACATGCAACTTCAAGGCCAAGGGGTCAAAAATCATAGTATATTTGGAAAGGTCTTGTCACAGGTAATGCACGTCAACTAGTTATAATTGTAACAGGGACCGTTACAGATGTTCCCCAAATGCTCCCCAACTCCCTTTTAGTGCCTTGTTCCCTGTCAGCTTCATTAAATAAGGCAAACTCTCTGTATTCTAGACTTTAAAAACGTTTTCCCCGAAGTATACCAAGTATATTGCAAATTTTAGCATTGCACCCGCGGGCATGTGAATGCATGTGCAGAATGACCATATCATCCTGTGTATGCATTGATACATCTTAATATTCTGAGTATCAATGTCTCTCATTAAAAAGCTATTAAAGTTACCGCTATATCAAGTATATTTGTCATTTTAGCATTGCAAGCCCGCGCACGTGCAAGCATACACATGATGACTATGTAATCTTGTCTACACTATTAATATATTTTAATATACCGAGTATTAAAGCATTTAATCAAAAAGTATAAAAGTTACGGCTAAATCAAGTATATTGGTCATTTTGGCATTGCACGCACGCGCACGTGCATGCATGTGAGTAATGACCACATCATTTTATCTACACTATTTATATATTATACTAAAATTTAATATCAAAGCATTTCATCAAAAGGTATTTAAAAATATGCTAAATCAAGTGTATTTGTAATTTTACG